TCTTTTTTTATTTTTTATTTTTTATTATGAAAATACTGTACAGAGGGGTTACAATTACATGGGCAAGATAATGAGTACATTTCTTATCAAGCATTGTAGCCTCCTCATTTACCCTTCCCATTCCTTCCCAGCCTCCCCCCGCCCTCCCCCACTCAATCCTCCCCACCCCCCACCAAAGTTGTAAAGTTCATTTTCAACATGACATCTTGTACTTCTCATTGTTGCAACGGGTCCACCTGTATCCTTATTTAAACGACTTGTTTTTCCCCTTCCCCTCCACAAATTATACCAACATCAAATACAGTGAAAGCAGGGGTTATACTGTGGGGGAGGGACATACAAAGCAACAAAGAAATAATCTTATAATTGCAGTAGAAACAAATGCATGAAAGAAAAAAAAACATTTAAAATACATATCTTAGGGTTCATTTTCCTAACATCACCTTATCTGACCTTTTCTGCTTGACTCATACATATACTAGATATTGCAAATAAGGGAAACCACGGGACCTATGTTTCTTTGGGCTTGGCTTACTTCACTTAATATAAATTTTTCCAAGTCTTTCCATTTCCTAACAAATGGGGCAGTATCATTCTTTCTGATGGAGGCATAGAATTATTTTTATTGTGTATATATACCACATTTTCTTGATCCATTCATCTACTGAGGGGCATCTGGGTTGGTTCCAGATCTTAGCTACGGTAAATAATGCTGCAATAAACATAGTTGTGCTGGTAGCTTTAGTGTGGTCTTGTTTGTAAGCATTTGGGTAAATGCCCAAAAGTGGGATTGCTGGGTCATAGGGGAGCTCTATGTGGAGTCTTTTGAGGAACCTCCATACTACTTTCCAAAGTGATTGAACAAGTTTACACTCCCACCAACAATGAAGTAAGGTTCCCTTCTGTCCACATCCCCTCCAGCATCTGTTGTTATTAGAGTTCTTGATTTTTGCCATTCTAACTGGAGTGAGGAGGTATCTCAATGTTGTTTTGATTTGCATTTCTTTTATGGCTAGGGAGGTTGAGCATTTCATGTGTCTATTGGCCATCCTTCTTTCTTCTTCAGAGAAGTTTCTCTTTAAGTCATTTGCCCACTTATTTATTGGGCAGTTGTTTCTTTGAAGATTTGTTGTTGGGGCATTTAATTTTTTGAGTTCCAAGTATATTTTAGATATGAGACCCTTGTCCGTTGTATGGCTAGTGAAGATCTTCTCCCAATCTGTGGGCTTTCTATTGATCTTGCTAGCTATATCCTTTGCCATGCAGAAGCTCTGCAACTTCATGTAATTCCATTTGTCCAACCTTTCTTTGATTTGTTGTGTTTCCGGGTCTTTATTAAGAAAATTTCGGCCTGTGCCAAGGAGACCTACGGTTTCTCCTATTCCATCCTGTAATGTTTTCAGAGTGTCTGCTTTGACTCGGAGGTCTTTGATCCATTTGGAGTTGATTCTGGTGCAGGGTGATATATAAGGATCTAGCTTTAGTTTTCTACAAGTAGTTAACCAATTTTGTAGGGCAGTTGTTTCTTTGAGGATTTGTTTTTGGGAGTTTTAATTTTTTGAGTTCTAAGTATATTTTAGATATGAGGCCCTTGTCCATTGTATGGCTAGTGAAGATCTTCTCCCAATTTGTGGGCTTCTATTGATCTTGCTAGGTATTACCCAGCAATCCCACTTTTGGGCATTTACCCAAATGATCACAAACAAGGCCACACTAAATCTACCAGCACAACTATATTTATCACAGCATTATTCACCATAGCTAAGATATGAAACCAATCAGATACCCCTCAGTGGATGAATGGATCAAGAAAATGTGGCACACACACACATATATATCTAATGGAACTCTATGCCTCCGACATTGCCTCATTTTTTAGGAAATGGTAAGACTTGGAAAAAATTATATCAAGTGAAATGAGCCAGGCTCAAAAAAACATAGGTTTCCATGGTTTCCCTTATTTTCAATAACTAGTACATGACTAGGACAAGCAAAAAAGGTCAAAAGCTATGTACATATGATATAAGATGATGTTAAGCAAAATGAACCCCAAGATAGGGACGCAAGTGGGCTTTCTTTCTTGCTATCGTTTTTAATGTACTATGTAATTTTTTTGTTTCTTGTATATGTTCTTCCCCCATGGTATAACCCCTGTTTTTGATTAACCCTGTATTTGATTCCAGTGTCCTGCATCTTGTATATACATTTTTCTAATTTGGGGAGGGGAAGGGAAATAACAAAATGCTTAAATAAGGATACAGGTTGACCCATTGTAACAATGAGATGTACAAGACACTATGTTGAAAACAAACATTACAATTTCGGAAGGTGAGGAAGGAGAAGTTAGGGAGGGGGGGCAGGAAGGGATGGTAGGGGAAAAACAGAAGAGGAAGCAACAATGCTCAATAGGAAATGTACTCATTACCTTACTCATGTAACTGTAACCCCTCTTACAGTATTTCTACAATAAAAATATATATGAAAAAAGAAAAGCTGAAAATGATCATACCTAAATCACTTCCCATGAGTATCTAAGCCAGAGATAGTTATTAGATACACAGTGACTGCCCTGGCATCTCAGGCAAGATAGAGCAAAGAAAAGGCTTAGTTTGTTTCTCTCTCTCTCTCTCTCTCTCTCTCTCTCTATATATATATATATATATATATGTATATCTTCCTTGTATAGTTTGTACTTTATGTTTATATAGATCATATATAAACGAATATGCAGTTTGTCACTTGTGCATATAGTTATATGAGTGACTATTGTGGACATGGCAAGACTTTGAAATGTATTTTGGTAAATATATGAGCAGTGTATACTGAATTGTCACAGATTATTGTTAAAATGCATTTATTGATTTCTCCTATTGATCAGTCAACTCTTACCTCTGTGGGTCCTGGAAGGGCAGCAGAGAAATTAGAGAAACCACAATACTTTAAACCGAGAACGGGAATTACATCTTAAAGATGACATATGCCAATATCTAAATTTAATTTCTAACTGTAAGATAAATATCCTATTATACCTCTCATACTTCCTTTTCATACTTATAATAAGTAAAACTTATTTAATTGATAAACAATCCAAAACATGTGTAGACTTACATCTAAACTGTTTCCAAAAATGTAATAATCAACAAAGATTAGACAATTTCTAACAGAAAATTTAAATATCTCTCTGAACAGGACTTGTGGGACAAGTATTTAAAGCAAATGCACAAAGAATATTTAAGTATATACACCATTCACAAGTTCCTTTGTTCACCTGTGATTCCATGTGTCAATTTGAAGAACCTCATTGAAGACTTCCTATTCCAGAGTGGAGGAAGGAACTATGAAAAAGAACATTAGGTAGAGTGACATTGGTTTCAAGAAGTTTAATTTCATGTGGAATGGAAGACAGCTGTTATAACAGTAGGTGATGATTTCTAGTTTTGTGCCTTTATGATCTGTCAAGATACAATATATTATTTCTTTCCTCCCCCCCCCCCCCAGTTTTTTTTTTTTTTTTTGCTACCTGCTTTTTTTTTTTTTGGTCGGCCATGGGGCTTGAATTCTGGGCCTGGGCGCTGTCCCTCAGCTCTTCAGCTCAAGGCGAGCACTCTACCACTTGAGCTACAGCGCCACTTCCGGTTTTCTGGTGGTTTATTGGAGATAGGAGTCTCATGGTCTCTCCTGCCCGGGGCTGGCTTTGAACCGCGTTCCTCAGATCTCAGCCTCCTGAGTAGCTAGGATTACAGGCGTGAGCCACCAGCGCCCGGCTTGCTACCTGCTTTAACAGACATTAGTATTATAGGTGATTTCTTTGTGATAAGTTTCACATATGCACACAGTGTCCTTTGAACGAATTCATCTGTTTCACACTATCCCTTTCAGATTTATTTCTACAAACTAAAATTGTATTTCTTTGGCGGCAGTTGCGTGGACTGCTTGTATGTATTCTCAGCTGTTTGGTGGAGTGGTCTGCAAATGTGAAGTCCATTGACACATGGATAATTAAATTTTAGATATCTAGGTTGATTTTTATTTTGAGTGATCTATGTGAGGTAATGAAAACACCTATTATTACTGCATCTTAATCAATTTGCCTGCCCTAGAGTCACCCCAGAGTGGTTTCTGTAAGCTTAAGGCCTCGTGGGACACATTCACACGAAGAGCATTTCAATCACCACATTCACGTGGTTTTTTGTTTATTGATGATTCATGTGTCTACTACAATAACCTCATTGAGTGTTTAATATTCCATAAGCCAGACTAGTAACTACGAGTAAATAATATATTTTTAATGGAGATCTACAATTTCACATTCTAGGATACATAATACTGGTTACTGGTAAATATATACCACATAAGAAATATTACTATCTCTGTTATTTTTTTATTGAATAATAATTCATTTTATTCATGTTTCATTGTATTTATCTGTTCAATAATTTAAGGACATATATAGACCATTTCTACTGTTTCATTAACAATATAATTATAAATAATTCATATTTACACGTTCGTTCCAACAATGGTGTTTATGTACAGTTATTATGTTAAAATTACTCAATAGTGGCCAAGGAGTAGCTAAACTGGTGCATCCTACTGCATCCAAACTGCAATCCTAATGTACCCATACATATGCAAAATTTGATTTCTTAAAAAAATTGTATTCAACATAATCAGTGACACTTTGTTGTGGTTTTGATTCAATTTTGCTAATGACTAATATTTTCCTGTTAAATCTTCATTATATAAATGTTTCCCTACACAAAAAAGGCATGTTCAGATTCTTTGCTTGTAGACAATAGCATGGTATTTGATAAAGCAAATATTTAATCCAAAGATATGATTTCTATACAGCTGAAAGTTAAATGTACACAGAGATCAAAACACATCTACTGGAAGTGGCTCTGTGGCTCAAGTGGTAGAGCATTAGCCCTGAGCTGAAGAGCTAAGGGACCCAGGCCCAGAGTTCAAACCTCACGATCAAAATCAAACAAACAAAAAACTCACCCAAACCCCAAAAACACATCTACTAAAGATTTCCTGGAGGTGTAGGCCATGGAAAATAGCTAACATAGAGAAATGTGTATACCAAGTGTCTTTTGCTGGACTACAAAAAATAGTATCCAAAGGTTGAGTTCTATGATGAAGATTCTTGGCAGACACTGAGCCAATTCAAATATTCGTTTCAACTTTTAGTTGTGAAGTTTCTGTTGCTGACGTGGCTCCATAGGCTATGAACACTAGCCACATTGTCCATGTAATTTACTTTTCATCATGTATAAACATTCATCAATGTTAATGGATATATGGAGAAAATTATCCCACAGCTGCTTTTCCAATTGAATAATGATTTTTTAATTTAAATTTTGTTGTAAATGTGATCTACAGAGGAGTTACAGTTACATACGCCATGTAATGAGTACATTTCCTTTTGAACAGTGTCACCCCTCATCTTCTCCCTGTTCCCCCTCTCAAAGTTGTAGAGTTCATTTTCAATATAATGTCTGGTGAGTATCACTGCTGAATTACTTCACCTTTTCCCATCATTTCTGTGTTTGTTTCCCCTTTCCAAATCAGATAAACTTACATATAAGACAAATAAAAAACAGTGACAAAAGGGGAAAAAAAAAACAAAGAAAAGAACTGCAAATCTCACAATTTAAAAACCCTCTTGTTTCCATTTCTTGGGGTTCATTTTGATGAGCTATGTGCATATGATCAAAGAAGATGATGCTTATCAAATAATATTTTTAATATATAGGATTTATTGTGTTTCTCCACTCAGTACTTTTAAAAGGTACAAATCATTTCTACTATACAAGTAACAGAGCAACTATATGTTTATGCTTGTAGTGTTCTTCCAACACTGTGTTCATGTATGATCATTATATTTAACTGAGTATTTGCCAAGCAGTTTCTATACCTGCTCTATCTTATTGCATCCATATAGTAATCCTAATACATCCATACACTTGTAATATGTGAATTTTATTAAAAATACAGCCAAATTAGATGTTGTAAAAAACAAGTAGATCTGGTTTTGATTGGAACTTGATGAATGACTAATATTTTCCTGTTACAGCTTGATTACTTAAATGCTTTCTTACAGAAATGCTTGTTCAAATGCTTTGATTATCAATAAATACATTCACATAAATGGTATTTAACATGGTACATATGAGTACTAAAATGTAATTTCTACCCATCAGTAGTTGTGTCAAATATGATAAATAAATTCTCAAATTTAATTGTACATAGATATAAATACATCTACTCAAAATTTCCAGAAATTCAAGCTGGATTGCATAAAATTATTTCTTGGTTGACATGAGGCGACTCCAAATATTAGTTGCATCTTTTCGTTGTGAAGATGTTGTTATTTACCATGACTGTCTAGGCTAGGAAGAACAAGGCACATTGTCCTTTATTTTTGTAATTTTTCCATGTGTAGTCATTTGAGAAGGTTAAATATGTGGAAACAACATCTCCACATTAGTTTCTCTTGATGTCCAGATGAAGAACCTTGTATAAGCCCTGCCTGAGCTCTTTATTCTTGAGTGCATACACCATGGGATTGAGAGCCGGGGGGATGACATTATGTAACACATTGAGCAGAACTGGGATGAGGGGAACTTTCATTCCTGCACTGTGTGTGATGGAAATGACAATGATAACAGTGTAGAAGAACAGGATGAGGATGAGGTGGGAAGTGCAGGTGCTTAAGGCTTTGGATGCAGCTTCTGGTGAGTTCAGCTTCAGCACAGACTTAAGAATGAGAGCATACGATACAATAATCAAACCCAGGTCACTTCCCATGACTACCCAAGCCAGAAATAGCTGGTTGATACTGTTGATTCTCCTGTCATCACAGGATAAGCTGGTGACTCCAAGGTTACAGCAAAGACAGTGGTTAATCTGATTCCTAGAGCAGTAATGTCTCTGTGCAGCCAGCACAGGCACTGAGATGGGAAACAGAAAGTTTCGGAGTGTAAATAAAACAGTTGATTTGACCACAAAAGCCTCTGTAATGATCGAAGGATATCGAAGTGGTCGGCAAATGGCTACATACCTGTCTACAGCCATGCAGACAAAAATACCTGACTCCATGATCACAAAGCAATGGATGGCATACATCTGAGCAAAACACTCAGGGAGACTGATGGCTTTAGCGTTGAACCAGAAGATGGCCAAGATCTTAGGCATGATGGTGGTAGCCAGTCCCATGTCCACCACAGCCAGGATGCCCAGGAAATAATACATAGGCTGGTGCAGAGCTGCCTCTCTGTTAATGATGATCAGGATGAGGGTGTTGGCGCTCAGAGCCAAGAAGTAGAGCAGAGCCAGAGGCAGGGAGAGCCAGTGCTGCCAGCTGTGAATGCCTGGGAATCCCAGCAGGATGAACTCAGATACCTGGAACTTAGAACTGTTGGGATCTCTGAGCTCTTGGAACATCCTTCACCAAGTGGACAAAAACAAAGCTGTTACTGTTTTTAATTATATGTATGGCCATATCAAAATTGGTCTTACCCAGGGACATGAGGTGAAGTGAGAGTTCAGCGTCTTCATTTTTCTCAACTTGTCATATTGGTCAAAGATCTCACAAAACAGAACCTTGGTAAGTACCACATTGTCCCTTTGTAGCTCAATCAATTATCTCTAAGTGATGCAAGCTTTACTTTTGTGACATCTTCTAAATGACACAGAAGATAGGTCATAAAAATAGGATTGTTTTTACTATATGCTGTGTAGCAGATCATCAAAAAAATAATCTGATCTCACAGAATGACTCATAGATTGGTTGGGCTCATGAATAGACGAGTCTAAGACCTCATGAAAAGATTAAGTAGAGGCTTTTGAGATTTCTCATGGCTGGGGTTCAATTTTATCCTATATACAAAAGACCTCCTCATTCAGCTACTTGAGTTTTTATAAAATAACAATTTTTGTTTGTTGTATGAAGCAATGATGTGGACTCATACTGTTTCTTGATATACAATTTTATTAATGACCTTCCTAAAACAAAAGATTTATAAAAATAGATAAATTAGTTTGAAAATCCTCATTATGTTCCCATTCCACAGTTTCTGATTTTGTTACTCCCCAGCTTGATGGACTTGTTTTGGTTTTCTGGAACATTATAGAATGCCCAAAATGAATAATAACCAAACAAATTACTACTAATATCATCATCCTTATTGAAGATACTTCCTCAATATTACCTTTGTAATCAAGAAAGAGAACCAACTTGTTTTATACTTCCTGCCAGCCATTTGCTTCTTCCGTTATCCCCAAAGGTAACATGGATACTAAAACGAATACAGGAGATCGCCTTTTCTTTTTACAGAAATCTATCATATGATAATTATCCGATAATAGTTTAAATATATACAAACAACAAAAAAATATGAGAGACCTTCCTCTTAGCTTCAATATTGCCACAGATTGCTGAAAAAATGAACAGAAAAACAAATTATTTGTTCCTCTGTATCAAAACAAAGCAGTCAACAATAACTGACATATTTATCAGTAACAAGTAGAAAAATTCAAGAAGACATGGATATAATAGCTTGGAAAAGGGAAGGAGATCCCTGGTTTGACTTGTGCTCTGTTTTGAAGATTGGATCTTAAAAAGTAAAACAAACTCTTAGTTATATCCCTTCTGTTCATACTGTACTCATTTCTTTCACTAGAAATACAGACTTACTTGTGAATGAGAAAATTCACTTCTCTTAAAGATGAAAACTGATGTCAAGTAAAGTAGAACTACTAATTAAGTCACTTTTTCTACCACAAAATCAAAATGCTCTCAATTCAATTGGATGTCATTTTTCTGAAAGGAAAATTGTTGTTGTGATTGGTTCATTGAAATTATAAAGTCAAATTTGCATGTCACCACTTATAAACCACAATTTCCAATACTATTTGTCCATTTTCAGCCAAAAATTACATAGATAATATTTGTGTTTTTATTTGACTTGCTTAAACTTCACAACAAAATTTTTTGTTTACATCAAAATTGTTGTTGAGAACAATTTTATTTACAACAAATTCTATTTTACTATTAAAACTGGCTGAAAGAAATCCTAAGCATCTCTACACCTGAAGCCAATCAATTGCATTCCCCTTCTGAGGAGCAAGGGAGGCAGGTGCAAAAACACAATAATCTGAAAAAATTGAGAACTCATTCCCAGGTGTCTATGCTGGCCATTGGGGAAGATAACCTGACTTTCTCCATTTCTAATAATTCATTTGAGGTAAGCAATAGCATTAATGTTCATAATCATTATAAAAAGAGCAGTGGTGGGGGGAGTGTAGTCGTGGAGATGGGAGGGCAGGAATCATAAGGGAAAAAACAAAGGAGGAGGCAATAATGCTTGATAAGAAATGTACTCATTGCCTTGCTCATGTAATTGTAACCCCTCTGTGCCGTATTTTCACAATAAAAAGCTTATTAATAAAATAATAATAAACAGGAAAAATACTATCAGGCCATAAAAAAGAGCAGTAAATTGTCATCTGAGATTTTGGGAAACAATCATTTCACGGGAGAACACAATAGTTTACACCACTTATGCCTTTCAATGGCATGGATGAATTGAAATCTGAATTTCCAAATCAATCTATCATTAAAGCTACTGTTCACTTTAACAGAGCCTCCCTCCTATGTATCTACCACCAACAATAAATGAATCCTGACAGAGTTTTGCTATATTTCCATCTCTTCCATTACCTAATGTCTGGGTGTGGAAATCATAAGCTGAACATATTCTTGTCGAAGCATTCAGGTTCTTGCAGGAAAATGAATCCTAATATACATGTACATGATGGTGCTCAATGACTAAAATCCCTTGATATCTGTGCCACTTAACTGAACCTTCAAGGAAAACCCAAGGGGATATTTCAGAGCTGTAGAGCTGCATTGCTTGTCTTAATATCAAGGTAACTTTTAAGGGAGAATGTAAAAGAGTGGATCTTTCCTCATTAACATCTTATGAACCTAAACAAATAATTAAACAGTTTCTTAAACATGCATCCATACATAATCACACCTGTGGCTATGCATGTAACATATAGCTATGTTAATTTGAAGGACAAGTCAGAAAATTTAATATTATTTCAGCTTTTTTTCTTTTCATTCATATGTATTAATTTACAAGGGAGTTTTATTGTAGTGTTTGGTAAAGACGATGTACAGAGGGTTACAGTTTCATGAGTACATTTCCTTTTGAACAGTGTCACCCTCTCTCTCATTGTCTCCCAGATTTCCCCCCCCCCAGAACCCCCAACTACCCAAGTTGTGAAGTTAATTTCCAACATACTATATTTCTAAGTGCACATAATATAATATAATCAGATTCACTCCATTAATCTGTCTTATATCTGTTTTCCTTTTGCCACAATTTACAAAACAACTTCAATGTGTTTTATGATATGGTCATATGTGCATTTAGTGTACTTAATTCTTACTTACTCCATCAAACTCTCTTTGGCCACTGCCACAACACTAGTTCAGTTTGTAATAGTTTTTTTTTTGGCGGGGGGGTCTGGTCATGGGGCCTGAACTCTGGGCCTGGGCGCTGTCCCTCAGCTCTTCAGCTCAAGGCTAGTACTCTACCACTTAGCCACAGGGCCTTTTTTCCGGCTTTTTTTTCCTTTTTGCTTATGTGGTGCTGAGGAATCGAACCCAGGGCCTCATGCATGCAAGGCAAGCACTCTACCACTGAGCCACCTTCCCAGCCCCCAGTTTGTAATAGTTTAGGGTGATTGGTTAGGTCTAGATTTTGTTAATGTGAACAAAATATGTGATTTATGTTTGCTGATTCTGGTTTATTTTACTTAACACGATGACTTCCTGTCTCTGCAAACAACATAATTTCTCTCTTTTATTTATGAACAATTCTTCATGATATATATGTATACACACACAATTCTTTTTGTTTTGGGTTTGTGTGTGTGTGTGTGCTGGTCAGGGATATTGAACTTAGGGCCTGGGTGCTGTCCCTGAGCTCTTTTGCTCTAGACCAGTGCTCTAACACTTTGAGCCACAGCACCACTTCTGGTTTTAGGAGGTTAACTGGAGATAAAAGTCTCACAAGCTTTCCTGCCTGAGCTGGCTTTGAACCTTGATCCTCAGATCTCAGCCTTATAAGTATCTAGGACTACAAGTGTGAGTCTCCAATGCCTACCTATCCTACAAATTCTTTACCTATACAAATGTTGGTAGACACTTAGCTAGTTCCAGATCCTAACTATTATAATCATGCTGTAACAAACACAGATGTGTAGGCATCTCTAGCCTATGATGACAGGTCCATACCCATAATTGCTATAGCAGGAGTATGGAGTAACTGAAGTTTTACTTTTTAGAGCATTCTCCATAATGGTTTTCGTAGTGGTGACACGTCCATCACCACAAACAGTGTGTAAAGGGTTCTTTTCCTCCTCATTTTCACTGGCATTTGTTGTTTGTTCTCATGATGGTAGCTATTCTGACTGTTGTGATACGAATCTCAACCAAGGGGTTTTTCAAGCCCTTGTGTATTTTTTAAATCAAGGTCAATTGGTTTTACCAAGGCACTTCATTTCAACAAGTCCCATTTATGTATACAATGCTACATGTTCATAACCACCTCTTTGCCATCTCCCTCTTCCCACGTGAGTCTCATCAAGTTTGCTATGTAAATATTGTGATCTGATTTGTAATTCATTTATGGCTCAGGATGTGTTGCATTTAATTCATGCATATTGGTCATTATAACATCTGCTAACTATTGAGTTCATTTGCCCATGAGTTAGTTGGCCTGATTTTGATGTTTGATTTTTTTAAGCTCTTTTTCTATGCTGGATAATAGTCCTTTGTGAAATGAATAGTTTACAAAGATTTTCTATCATTTTTAGGCATTTCTCTTTTTTTAAATAGGGGTCAGTAATTTATTTAAAGTACTACAATTAGATAATGACAAGATCAGGACTCAAACCCAAAAAAGTTTGCCTGTACGTGTTCCAGATTACTGAGCAATATTGGGCTAATCATGAGTATCCAAGCATTAAAAAGTTGAATCACATAATTAAAAATATAGAAGGTATTTCCCAGAAAATAGCAAGTGTTATTCTGAGCAGAGAATGCACTGTCAGGACACTAAAGCCAACCTGGACCCTTAATATCCACTGTAAAACAATGGAATTCTATGCCTCCATCAGAAAGAATGACATTGCCCCATTTGTTAGGAAATGGAAAAACTTGGAAAAAATTATATTAAGTGAAGTAAGCCAGGCCCAAAGAAACGTAGGTCCCATGGTTTCCCTTATTTGTAATATCTAGTATATGTATGAGTCAAGCGGAAAAGGTCAGATAATGTGATGTCAGGAAAATGAACCCTTAGATGTGTATTTTAATGTTTTTTTCTTTCATGCATGTGTTTCTAACACATTTATAAGATTATCTCTTTGTT